AGAGTTAAATATCCAGTAATAGAATTATAATAAGCACTGTGATATGCAAAGCTAAATAAACACTGTCAACAAAGTATATGATTCTGTCATGAAATAGAGCTTCACACTGGATTATGATCCTTGTAAAGTTGTCTACATCCATTCTGGAAGTGAGCCTGAATCCCCCTTTCCTCCCACTGAACCCTTCTGCTGCTTTCACACACCTGCAGTTTTGGCCAAATGGTCACAAGAATAACAAACCTCTGTAAAAATCAATTTCGCGTATTACTTTTTCTTCTCTATTGAGGTTGACTGTGAAGTGGTTCATGTTCTCATAACCACGTTCTATTTTCTCCATCTGAAATGCCTTCGACGCTTCAGATATTCTGCAAAAAAGACAAGTTGCCACTTTCCGTCACTGTGTAAAGTTTGATAGCCTTGGGTAAAAATGACAAGTATACTTTGTTCATAACATGAAAATTACTTACTTTTGTAACAGGGTTTTGGCATTCTGTGAAAGCAAACGAAAGACAAGCCTAGTTAAATTCTTTTCACAAAGATGGTGTTGAGATTTAATTCTTTCCTTTGCTGACTCTGGAAATCTCATAGCTTAGTTGCCAAATGCCGTAAATAACTCCTGTTTTATACGAGAACCCTCTTATTTGTAAGCGATGCTGTGGCCCCTTAAGTCTATGCTTATGGAATAGTTCAAACAGATGGAGAATATAAGCACATGCATTTAGTTAGTAAGATAGATCAAAATGAGATGAACAGAAAATAATGAAAGCGTGATGACCGCTACTTCTCCAGCACCCACCTTCTTGGTTTGTTTCTTCTGGGGCCAGACGGATACTTACCTGCAGAAACACTGCCATTTCCGGCTCATCCATAAACTGTATTCCTGACTCAACCAACTTCGATACGTTCTCCAAATGATCAGAATACTTTTTGATGAGAGCACGGACATGCTCTAGCTTCTCCTCTTGGGTTCGGGTGATGACTTGGGCCATTTCATTCTTCCTCTCCTCCAAGATGCCGTACAGGTAATCAAACTTCTCACAAAGCTCCTGCTTCTGTTTTCGGCAGCATTCCTGTTAGTTGGGTTAGCGAATGTTAGAAAGTGTCTGAAAGAGTGTCTGTCTGGAGAAAACACCTGGACATGTTGGAAGAAAAGAAAATTTACTTACGGAGGAAATTGTTTTATTTTCCCTTAAGCTGTCCCTGAGGTATAGGTACCCACTGTGTGGACACTTTGAAAATCCTGTTTCTATCATTTTTGATACTTAGACCATCCCCAGTCAATCAAATTAGCTAAATGGATGGGTGATTTTTCAATCTTCTGCTCTTTCTATATATGGAAAATTTCATAGAAATTAGGACAGATTTGGTTTTAAATTTTATATTGGTTACATAGCTTTCAGTTTTATATTTTGCTTTAGAATGAGTGTATGTGTATATACGGAAAAAAACGGTGCTTCCTGGTTGGTCCCCTTCAGTCTCTCTCTGCTCCATCTGTGTTGCTCTTGCCCCAGTTTCAGTCCTCCCATATAGATTCTGAAGGTTTCCAATGGCTTCTGCATCTGGGATCCCTCCCTTCAAGTCAACTCACAAACTGCAGCCAAATTCGTCTTCCTGGAGTACTGTGTTTTTCCTCTGTTATGACTCCCATTGCCCAAAGAATAACATTTCAACTTTATAACTAGCTTTCCAGCCTGTCCATGACCTGGTTCCAGCTTTTCTTCATAGTTTCTACTATTCTCCATCACGTACCCTGTGTCCAGCAAAAATGAACTGCTTACTTTCTTTGCTCATGTGCTCTCCTTTATTTAAAATGTATTTCCCAAATTCACAGTTGCAGACTTTAAGTAATCTTAAAAGACACTGCTGAAATGCCACTTCTTCCATAAAGAATCTCTATGACTGAATGGCATCTATTAGTCCTCTGAGATCCTGTAATGTTTACTCTTTATGGCATATACCTATAACCACCAGGTCCTCCATTTATCCCATACTGCCCAGGAGAGGGAAACACTGGACCTGGCCTTTCCTTCCTAGAGAGAAAGACTGCATGGGAAGCCAAGCTTGAGCATTTGTACTGTGTGGCTGAAGCGGCTCCCTTTACTCTGAGTCCACGTTTAAAGCATAGTTAACTTTCCGATTGACCTACTCATTGGCCTTTTGGTTTTCCAAGTTCTAGGAAGCTTGGTGTATGTACAGGCCAACCCATGTTTTCCATATGCTCTCTGAGGTAAAGCAACACACGAGGTGGAAGGGTGCGCACCCGTCAGTCTCACTGGCTACAAGATGTTCAAAGTGCTGTGAGTCAGTGAACAACAAACACCTCAGTTTATCAGCTTGTCCTCTGAGCTAATTAGGGAATAGGTGTATATGCTTAAAAAAAAAGAAAAAGAAAAAGAAAAAAGTAACACTCTCAGAGGCCATCTCTCTACGGAGAGTGATTATGCTGACTGTCAGTACCGGCTGTACCTTTGTAAATGTGGACCTGAAATGCTTTCAACAGTGTCTTTCCAGCACCCTAAAAACAGAATGGAGAGATGTGGACTTCTGCATTATCTGCATCCTTTAAAGCACACTTTAAAGGATGATTATCGGTACCTGCAAAAGTATGATAGCAGCCCAGTTCATCTCTTCTCCACAGAAACGTCCTCACCTCAAAGATTTCTCCTCACTTTTATCATATTCTTTTTCATTTATTTGAGTAAAAAGTCATGTATCTTTAAGCCCAATTCCAGGTTGTTTACCTCCCCCCACTTTTCCGGATACTAATTGAATCAAGAGATACTTTTTGAACTTCCAAGGTTACATTTTCAAACATTGTCCATTTTATTCCTTTTGATACCTATGGTTCCTATGTCCCCTGTATATGTAGCATGTGTGTGTGTGGGGGGTGCGCACACACACATGTGCCTGTGTGAGTGTGTTTAGCAATTGAAGTAACTTCCATCCTAAATGCCCTGGTGTTGGTCTCCAAGCAGATTCTGATGCAAAACCTCCAACTGCAACATGACCTTCCTCCTGGGTCTGCCAGGGCAGTTATATTTATATTTATTTATATAGAAGAACAAATCAAAGTTGTCTGTAATAATCTAATGAAAATAAAATCCACCCCACCTCTAGGGAGAACCCAGTGTAGATGTAACACACTAAAAGAGATGATTTTATAATGGGAAACTATTCTGCCCATATTGAAATGGTAAAATTATGAATATTTGTTTCTAACTAGTGTCATAATATCTGGATGAATAGAAAAAAAATCAAGTAGCTTGATTTGTTTCCTTAGTAGTGAGTAGATAACCTTCAATATTTATCTAAAACACATTGTTTAGCTGTTGCCTTTATAGAAATGTTAAAATTGACATACTCTAATTTTTAGCCATCCTTATATTTTAGTGGCAATAAGAAAAAGTGATTGCAAAGAGAAGCTTTTCATGAAAAAAATCAACAATAGATGATCTTATATGAAGAGCAGATCCTGCCAAGCAAAGTACCATCATTAGATTTTATTATTACATTTTTCAGTGGCTCACCCTTTCCTTGGGTACTTGCTACTCTCGGAAACAATCCTGTTATTTGTTTATTTTATGGTCTAACTTCTCTACTAGAATAAAACCTGCTTGAGAGCAGGGACTCTTCTGTTTGGTTCATCACTATTTCAAAGCATTATGTGTGCAGATTATGGCATATAATGTGCACATGAGAAATCCAGTTTGAATGATTGAATGAATAAATGAAATATGACTTGTATTTAGGAATATTCAGCCCTCACTCACAAGTTTCACAAGTTTCTACTTTGTCCTGTTCCAAAGACATGGGTAATTAAGGGGGTACTCCAAACCTCTTCATTCAACACTCAAAAGAAAACAGCAGAAAATGGCCAGGCAACCTTAGGGAAGACATTTAACCTCACGACAGTTCTTTAATCTGTACAATAAGGGGGGTGAAGTTGGATGATTGCTAAGATCCCTTATGACTCTACAGTTCCAGTGCTCTACAACTTCATGTAAATCTGGGGATATTTGGGGTCTTCAGACTGTAACACGCCTCTATATATACAGTGCCTCCTTCCATTCGTGGCAAGTTTCAGAGTGGCCATATATAGCACTGAGACATGAATAACATGTTCCAGCCCAGGCAAGATCAGTCCCAGCTTGGGGGTGTCCCAAGGCCACGACAGAAAAACCTAAAGACAATTGTGACCACTGCTCTTACCATATAAGGAGTGTGGCTCTGTGACCAAAATAGAGCTGAAGATAAGCTCTGAGCCCCAGCATTTGTCACTGAGCAACTGTGACTCCACCTGGCCCATTTGTACCCCTCCCCCCACCCCACATCCCTCCATCTTTTGAGACACACTTGTTCAAAGCTGCAGCTCTGGGTCTGGAAGGACACACTCCACTTCATTTGATATACAGTACTTCAAAATCCCCTTCATTAAGCCAAACAGGGTTTCCTTTCCTCTCCCCATAACCCCACCACCAAAAAAAAAAAAAGAAAAAAGAAAAAGAAATCAGACAGTATATTAATAATGCTAAAGAAAGAACTATATTAAGGTAGGAAGATTCTCCGGAGGAAGTTAAGTCCAACCCTTCAGTGGTAAAGCCCCAGTCACAAGCACACGAGAGAAGTCCCACGAGTGCAGCCTGGTGTGAGAGCCCAGGTCTCTGACAGGCTGCCCTAGAAAGGGGGCAGACAAGTTAGAAAAACATCGCCCCCCCTCCAGGCACACAGGCTGGAGTTCAGCCTCTCTCCCTCTGGCTCAGCCCCTCTGTGCAGTGCTTGGCGGAGTGAATCTGTTCAATGGCCAGGGGTCTCGGGACTCCCAGACCCAGGCTCTTTTCCACCACATTGTGCTGCTACCCACTTCATGTTAGAAGAAGAATTATGTTATAATTTATGGGATCCCTAATGCTTATTCCTAGGGTCCTTGGCATTAGGGGTTTTCTGGGCTAGTCCAGATCATTTAGGAGATCCTTGAGAAACCCTCTGATGGCCGAGGGTCAGGTGAGCCTGCCCTGACTTGAGACCACGGCAAGCTGAGTAGCTGTTTAACTCATTCCCGTCTGCGGTGGACAGTCAGCACGTTTCCTGGAAGGGGCTCAGCCTCCCTTTGCTGCCAATATTTCGAATTACCACAAAGCCTCAAAGAATAGAGCTAATATCTACTTCCATTCATTTTCCATCTTTCCCACTGCAGGGAGTGGCTTCACCCTGCCATCATAATTGATCAAGACCTGGCTAGTCTTATTCCAAAACCATTTAAAAGATGTTCCGGACTCTCTAGTGGTTCAAATGATTATTAGCATCATTAGATGGCATGTGCTCTTTCCAAGCTGAGTGTGAGGACAACACACTTGCAGATCTCCCAGTCTGTGCCTCTTACCCCAACTTAGTCATCACAGCAACGCTGTGAGGAAGGTTTATTAACTTCCACTGAGGAAGCTAAGGGACAGGGAGCTGAAGTAATTTGCCCAAGGTCATAGCTTTAAGTGGCAGAGCTAAAATTCAAACTCTAAAATCTGTTCTTTAAGCAGATGTTACATAGCTTTAAACATTCTGGCATGCTTATTTAAATGATTCTTATTATATTCATACTTCATATTTGTAACCACATGGACGATGTCTCAAAGCTGGGTAAAATTACTGTTTTGGAAACATAATGGATTTGTTCTCATTGCAAAGCCATTGGAGGATTTTATTAAAGGTGTCATTTTTCAGATACTGGAAATGCTCAAGATCAAACATGTATTATTCAGCTTGTAGCTGCTTCCCCTAGACGGGCATGCACACAGAACAAGATTATTCCTGGGCCTGCCTGCCTGCCTGACGCGGGAGGGCTGGTTGGGTTTCCAATAACGTAGGGTAAGTGCCACTTGTAAAGACTACGAGAGGGAGGTTACGTTTTCTGGGGATGAGGAACAAAAGTCAAGCCATTTTCTGGACGCAGAGAGCTCCTGAGGCGGTGCGATTCTCCACCCCTACCAGCAGCCTCCCTACTCGGTCCCAGCCCATCCCAGGATGTCTCCAGGCCTGGAGAGGCAAGCGTAGCTGTGGATCATGCTGGGCTTATCTAGAACAGCCCAGAAAATCCTCCAACATCCTGCAATCTCGAGCTCTGAGAATGTCTCAGGCTAAGCCATCTCAGCCAGGATGGCTAAAAAGATTGCAGGCCCCCCCCATCAGCCCCCAGCAAAGAGGGGAAATGCCCCTCCCCCGTGACACAGTTCAGACTGCCCTTTCGTGACTGTGGTCCTTGTCGAAATCATTCCCATCACCACTGCAAACTCACATCAACTGCATACATTATTTTTAAAGGATAACAAGGAGTACCCAGTGTGATTCACCCCAAGCTCGGCAGCTCTCCAGGGCTGGTCTGGGCCAGGTGCCTGCCCAGGCCAACCCTGCAGGGCATTACATGGTTAGGGACAAAATTAGACATGTGCAAGCTACAGGCACTACTATCAATGGGCAGGTGTCAGGGCCCCCAGAGGGGGTGAGGTGATGTAATTCGGGAAGGTTAGTGCCCACCCTCGGGGATACTCAATTTCCCATCACTACGGGGCTCTTCACCAGTCAGAAACGAGAATTCTTTAACAACAGCTTCCCACCCCCTGGCTGGGAGCCACCAATGGCTTCTCAGAAAATGTTTCAGGTGGGTGGTGAGCAGAGCCAGGAAGGGAAAAACCACCCCAGGCAGGACAGGAGACACAGGAGCCCTGTGGCCCTGACCCCGGTACAGAATTCACCGGCTTGGCAAGGTGGGCCCCAGTGTGCTTCACGGCCTGCTGCCCTGCAGCCTGGCACCAAGTGCGCCTCTGCTGTCTGGCCTGCTGACCATGGCCCTGGCTCTACAGGAGGTCACCTTGGTGATTCCAGGTGCAAGGTGTGGCCATTTGTAGCAGTGTCTCTGTCCCCAGGGCCTCTTCAACTGGAGGATATTTGCATCAAGTAGGAATCATAAAATCAGAGAACTTTATGGGGCTCTGAGCCAATCCCCACATTTCCAGACGAGCTATTTAAACTGACCCGAAAGAACTGTGCTTATCTGAGCCATAGTCATTCATTTACTCTTTCTTTCTTTATTTTATGGTTATTCATAGACATCAGGCTCATTTTAGAAAAATGTGAAATACAGGAATATATAAAGAAGGCTGTAAAAATCCCCGGCAGTCCCACTAGTCACTGTTCTTAACCTTTTGGGTTCTGGAGTTTTCCCCTTTGTGAACGTATATGGGGTTGTTTATGAATACATACATTCTATCCTGTTTGTATGCCACTTTTTTATCCTATTTCCTTGAGTTAAAATCCCCGAAGTGAATGACACAGGTAAAAGGGATGGACACTTTGAAGCCTCCTGCCAGTTTGCAGACTCATCTCACAGCCCTGAGGGGGACTATCACACACCTTCCTCTGGGTAACTGTGAAGACACTTGTAAAAGCGTGTCATTCTCGACGAAAGTTTTATCGGTAATAACAGGGATCATAATCCCGGACGTCACTGTCGGGAAGCTTTTCCTGATATCTACACATGATCCCTTCTGCGGACTTAACTTCAAACCTGTTCCTTCTTGCCTTGTTCTCAAATGAAAGAATAAACAGCTGCTTCCTACTGTGCCGCTGACTGGCCTCCAGGAACAAAACCAGTTGTTGAGTCTCCTCGGCCTCTCAGTGTCCTCTGACACTGCCTGAATGGAGCCAAGTCCTCTGCATTTGTTCAGAGCCCAACATGACCCACAGGACTTTCCTCCTGTTTGTGTTCTGCAGCCTGTTCCCCCGACAGAGGTCTCCGATGAAGGCCTGAGCAGAGACCAGGATAGAGATGACCTCACTTGCCCACAAGTAACACACTCCTATTTATACACCCAAGACTCAGTGTGGTACCACCCTGGAGTGCTGATTCATGACCTGATGATTGAGTTGTACTTGGCCTTTACTGTGAGTAAGTAAAAAGAAAAAAAAAGTTTATAGTGTCCATTTCAAAATCTCTTTGAACACTTCATCAAGAGAAAATTTCCTTTGACAAATGGATTCCAGATCCATCATGCATCATTTCAGGAATATGAGGATGGAGAAGAGACGAGAGTGATTTTAATGATGTGTAAATCTAAATTGATATGATTATGGCCAATGTCTTGAAGTCATCATCTAGGAGTTTGTCTTTGTCTTTTGATAGAATTCACCTTTCAAATGATGAAATAAAAAGATTAAGGCATTTACTAGGTGCTCACCATATGCCAGGCACTGTGCTAAGCATGATGCTTATGCTTATTTAATTCTGCATCGTTAACTCTATAAAGTGGGTAATTAGCCCCACTTTCACAGGAGAAAACTGAGGAAATGAATGTACATGTGAATGGATCTTAAAACATAACACTTAGTTTTAAAAAAGTAAGCAGAATGAAAAGAACAACATAATTTATAAAATTAAAAGATGTGCATATATAAAACAGTACAAATTTTGTAAGAATACAGGTCAATGGAACATCGACCATGTTAGAGTGGTTATTTACAGAGAAGAGAACAGGAGTGGGAAATGGGGATAAACGGAAATAAACAGGTAACAACAGGCGCAGTGCCCATGGCAAAAAGGAAAGCGTGCCATTAACTGAGCAGCACAGGCTTCCACATCTGAGGTCCACCTGAAAACAGTACCCCCAAAGCTGAAAGCAGGGAGTAGTCATAAACTGCTCCAGGTCACAGAGCCAGGACCTGGACTCAAAATCAGGTGTCTCGCACCTGCCCCCAGGCAGCAGGGCTTAACTGGCCTGTGGATCTTCAATTCTCGGAAAGAGATGTGCCACGTAGCAAAACCTCTTCAGGCTTCAGCATTTATATAGTTTATCATTGATTTTGAGCAAAAGGGGATTCCCAATATTTCTCACATGCATTTGTTCATTGTTTTTATTGAGTGTTTATTATGTGCCAGGCACCAGGCCAAGCCGGGGGCCAACGGAGATGCATGGGCCAGGACTCTGGTGTCAGAGAGCTCCCAGCGGCTGAAGCCCTTTCCCACCGCAGTGGGCCCAGCCTTCTCCTCCTGCCAGCCCCTTGCAGCCTGGCTGTTAGAGCTCAGATATGCTGCTCAAACCTGCACTTGACTATCTAAAGCACCAAACAGCAATCCTTGAGACCGTTTGGATTTCCACAAAGAAACTGCGCTGTGATGGCGAACAGCCCTCGTTGTGTTTCCTGGGGATGGATTTTTCTTGTCGCTAATCTTTCAGCACAGGCTGCCCAAGAAAGAACAACACACGGAACAACCACCCTGATAAATGTGGGAAAATCTGTCTTGTTGCCTCAGGCGACAACTTTTCATCCTGGGCCAGGAGGTGAGTATTTCAGAAACGTAGCAGGAAGGAGGTCATCACATAAGGGAAGACTGAGAAGTCGGAACAGGGATTTCTAGGGTGGTGTTGAGGGAGCCACAAAGCCCCGGGAGTTCAGGCTTGGTTTACACTCCCTGGAAGCCACTTGACTTACCTCAATGGTTTTACAGGTGTCCTCCAGCTGGCTGATCACCCCCTGGACCCGATCGTTGCTTCCCACGAGGACAGCAATGCCATCACTGAGTTCAGACTGATGGAGAGAAAAGAGGGCCGCCCTATCTTAGGGGCTTCCTGGTCAGCACTGACTGTGGGCTAATCTCAGTATTGTCCTTACGGGCTCTTTATCAAAGCTCCACGGAACCCCTTAAGGAGGAACAGCAAGGCTTGGGAGGCCTGAGAACCTCCTGACCTTGTAAATAAAATTCTGGATGGATGTGTATGTAAATGCACTTGTCTGAGAAGAGGTTTCATAGTTTTCATCAAATTCTTAACAGAGACTGCTACCCTGCTAAAAACATTAATAACACCGAATTATAGGCCATAGACAGAGAATAGCACATTCAAGGTCAAGAATTCTCAGTATTGTTTATAAATTGAATAGAGTCCATATGTGACATCAAGGACCCAAAATGAATTATTTGCCTCGTGCAGCTCAGGATCAGTTTTACCAGGGAAACACACATAGTAAATACTCACTTATGTACTTTATGCAACAAATACCTATTATGTACCGTTCTAAGTGGTAGGTCCAAACAAATACTCACGTACTAGACTAAGTCATTGCAAACTTGAAACTATAACATTCAACTCAATCTGGGGAAAAGATTTCAACTTGAAATTCCTCTCAGACTCCTCTGACCTGGAGAGATTCCACTGTTTGTACCGATCGCCCTCCCAAGGCTGGCCTGTGGAGCGCCGGGGACGCTGAGCGAATGGAACTCAGGAGACCTACATGCTTGAGCTCTGCCTTCAACTGCTCTATGATGTTGGGCAAAGCATGTAATCAATTTGGACCCTAATTTTCTCATATATAAAGTGAGAAGACTGGATCAGAACAGTGGTTGGAAAACATTTTAAAGCTGCAGAACCCTTTCTTCAAAGGGGAGCTGATATATAATTCCAGTAGGTGAAACTGGAGCTGCTTTGGCCAAACAGGAGCAAGGTGGATGTCCACCTGCCAGTCTGTCCTCTGTCTGCCCCATGTGAGTCTCAGGGCTCTGAGGAGAACGGTGTAAGACAGATACTTACTATTCAGTTCTAACAGGCTGTGACTTGCAGGGCAGGAGAAAGGAAAGAGGGAATAAATCACACGAGGATTGGGAAATAAATGTTATTGATGTCTTGCTAAATCCTGCTTCTTTAGTGCTCACTGGTTGTAACTGGTGTTGCACAAAAGTTTGGCTTCTAAATTTGATGCCAGCTCTGAATTTGATCAGTAAAACCAAATGCAGAGAACCTATGACTCTAACAGAATGAAGCTGAGACGTGGAGCACAGGACCGGTGGCATCTATGTGAGCACACAATCTCACGTTTATTTGCATCAAATGGATAAGTTCCTCCTCACCCCTGGGTGAGACCAGGTTGGCAGTTCAGTGATGAGCTGGGACACCCTGTATTTGAACAGAATGAGGGGGCTGGGTCTGAGGGTGGATGGTGGGGGCACGTGCCAGCCTCACAGGAGGACTTTCAGCCCTGGCCTGGGTTGAACGGCCAGGAGGCCGGTTTAACCCAGGTGTGAGGGCCGGCCCAAGGCAATGTTTTAAAATTGTTCTTTAATGAAATGCCATTCATTGTTAACTCTAGCCACTTAGGAGTGGAGGAGAAAAGGCCTCGAGGCGGGCAAAAGAAATCTTTGGTTGGTGAATGAAGAAAACTATTCTGAGACTGGAGTAAAAAGTTATTTTTTTATTACCTATCGTCTGAACCTCAAGTAATGTCTGAGCAGCCTGAGCTTGGACCTGGTCCCCTAACAATGCTCATCTTCACTAACTTCCAAAGGGCCCCCAAACAGCGACCCCTCCCCTCCACACCTCTTCCTGACCCTCCGCCCCCTCCCCTCCCTGGCCTGCCCCACCTGCCCCTAGAGAGCCCTGCAGGCTAGGCTGCCGGGCACCCAGCATCCTTTGCTGCTCCACCTCTGTGCCCCACCCAGCCTCAGGGCCCGAGGGCCTACGCAGTGGGCGCCCCTCCTTCAGGGCAGCGAGGCAGTCACACAGGCGCTTGGAAGGGGTTTGGATCAGGGCCTCTGTTACCTTCTGCCTCTGGAATACGTGAGTGAGGGGAGCCACCTGGCAATCCTTGTGTGCCCCGAAGACCTTGCACAGGGAGCAGGTGGGCACTTCGCAGTTCAGACAGTAGATGTTGATGCGCTCGTCCTCATGCTCCTCACACATGGGCTGGTCCGACTTCTTTTCTGGTCTGGGAGGAGGTAGGCAGGTAAGTGTCACCTCCTGCTGTGGCAGAGCTGAGTCGGGTGGCTGAGCGGGTGGTCAGCATTGCAGACCCCCCCCACCCCTTGTGCTCCCCCAGCAACCCTGCGCCGTGAGACTTCCGGGGTCCCTTTCAAGTGCTCAGAGCCCTCCAAATTCTCTATGGGCTCAGCAGCAGTGTCCTGACAAATAACAGCCAGCCTGGGGATAGGGACTCGGAGATGCTGACCTGAGGCATTTGCCAGTCTTTGTGGTGTGAGTATTGCCAACATGGCCAATTTCAAGGCTTGAAAAGTGGCTAGTGTGTCTCCTGAAAGTTGAACACTGGATTCCTTTGTCAGGAGCATGCTTCAGCACCGTCTCCACATGCTCACAGGTCTCTCAACAGATACTTTACAATCATGGGTAAAGAAGAGGAGGTTGCTGATAAACGAAATCTCAAGTTTGCACCGGCTTTGGGGAGGCCCCGTGCCCCACCCCTGCAACCTCTGGCCCCAGCAAAAGGAGTGAGAGTGGAGGTGGGCTGGGGAGACCATATCTTGGATTATGAATCTCCGCGCTCATTGCAAGTAGTTGTGTGTAAGAGGGAAAATGTCAGCAAGTGCTTTATTAATTTGTTTGGGTCTCCGCCTGCCGCTAGCACAGAAAACAAATGCAAATAACTTCCTGAGGACTCAGCAGTGGTTAAGAGTGGGCTGTGTGTTCTCAGTGAAGGGGAACAATTATACTGAATACTTCGGCAGTAAGAAAAATGTAAAATGCTGTCTGGGACATGGTGGTACCTTGGAAGTTCAAATCTCAATAATTTCGAAGTTTCAATTTTGCCAATGGGTCAGCACCAACCAAAACTTTTCAGAGATGCCCAGGTAATAATGGAACACTGGGTTTGTACGTCCTAGTGAGACCACGACCAAGCAATGGAGACGTGAAAGCATGAGAGAGGCAGTGCCAAGTCCCTGCTGCTTAAGGATAACCTGTTAACTGTGAGGTCACCTGGAGCAGCCTGGGTTCACATCACGTGGTGGGGCTGAGTATATTCCCCTCATCATCAACGCAGCTCAGGGGATACGATCAAGATTAAAATTATGCCGCCTTGTGGTGCTTTGGGCTCCCGCTGGAGACCATGGTCGGAGGTGTGGGTGTAGCCTACTTGGATGAAATCTGGAATTTTGATACGTCCTGTCTACAGAGACTGAGGCTGTTAATAGTTTCCAGAAGAGTTTGAAAAGTTTAAAAACAAATCCAAAAGCTTTCCTCATGTTCCCAAACACATGGTTATTTAGAAGCATCTCAGATTAGGAACCGAATTTTTTTAGTCGTTATCAAGATCCACTTCTTAAAAACTGCAGGTTTTTATGGAGCACAGAACAATTATTATGGGCCATGAGATCGATTTAGGGGGTCATGATCAGCACTGTTAAAGATAGAATAGCAAATACTGTGAACTCTGTGTGGTAAGAATAAGTACTGATATGCGAAACTTTTGTTTCAGGTGTACATATATGTATGTATGTGCGTATGTGTGTTTACAAATATCTGTGTACACCTGAAATGAACATATATAGTTCATTTTGTCTATGGAGCTATAGCCATCCACGTATGTAATGGCCACTGGATCACAATGTAGAACACATTTCCTGTTCCATGAATAAAAATGCTTGAACAGCATTAATATTGATGAGATGTGTAGTATTATGTAGTCGCAGCCCCAGAACTCAGAGAAGGACAGAGAATGTGCTGAGTTACATGTGTAAGTCACCAGGTAGACGTCAGGTGCTTGAGGCTGGGCTAACCATTAGGAGAAGCCCTGGGTCTGGTAGGGAAATTACATGGACTTTGAGCTTCAAGATTTCAGAATCCGATTTTGGTAGAAGGGTTTTTTTCACCTGGTCTTGTAGCGGTATGTTTTCCGTGAAGCCTGTGACCTCCTGACTGACTTCTGCCATTTGCTTGGAAGTCAACGAGGAAAGTAAACTCCCCTGAGAAAGTTATCCCCTGTCCCGGGTCTGCCTGTTTCCACCTCCGTAATGTGAACTCCATGAGGTTAGGGGCCAGGCTGTGGTCTGTCTATATTGTGCTAGATCCCCAGTGCCCAGAACAATGCCTTCCATAGAGCGGGTGCTCGGTAAATATTTGTTGAATAAATGCGTGAGACATGAGAAGGAATTTGCCAGATTAGTGGACAGTATTTGCTGCACTCTAACATAAAATTGCTCATCTGGAGACGGCCTGTGAACTCTGGGGAAAGCTTGGTGACCTGGCTCTCCTGAGTGGCAAAGGAAGAGACCAGGTAACATCCTGAAGACTCCGTTTATAAATGACAGAGCCCCCGGGTGGGGGTTCTCTAGAGACTAGGAGTGGCGACTCAGTTTTCCTTTGGTCAAAGGCTTCTCCACCTCTAAAACCTTCCCTCCTGTGTACCTCCGCCTTGTAACAAAAGTCACGCTCGTGGCTGGAGCACAGTGCCTGGGGAATAGCACAGCTGATGCTACTGCGGCTCCCCTCCCCCAGGCTTTTCCTGACGGTGGCCTGCGTTCCACGTGCTGCTCTGAGGTCAGCAGCTCTGACCAGAGGTGGTGTCGTAGCGCTCGGGTGTATGCAGTGTATGCAACACTGAAAATGTGGAAACAGCCTGAGGCTCTTCATTTAGTCTGTGATTGTGATTAGTTTTGCATAAGGCAGTACAGACTGAGGACGACCTCCAATGTCCCTTCTTAGTTGTTTCTTGTTCAGGTGGCCACACAGGCCCAGAGGCATCCCCCACTTACAGATGGGTTTATAATGAAAACCTTCAGACACCACAAAACATATGACAGACTTGGGACGAACATGACATGTAGAATAAAGGTGTAAAGGTGACTTGATGAGGGGAGGGTGGCCAAGCTCTCATTATGGTTCAGGACTCAGTGCCAAATGTGGCGATGGCCCCCAGCTGTTTGGTGCAGGCTTGACTCAGGGAGTCTGTAGCTCTCTGAGGTTGCTGGGGCCATCCTTGAGTGTCCGAGAGGGTGGGCATCTGGTGTTGATGAAGCATTTCAGGCAGGACATTTATAGTCAAACTGATCTCAAAGCTTAATTCCAGCTCAGCTTCTCTATGTGCTGGCTTTGTGGCCTTACGCAAGTTTCGTTAACTTTCAGGCCCAGCTTTTACTCATATCTGTAAATTGGACTGGGGGGTCTTTAATGAAATATGACAGAATGCACACACACATTTATTTAATTGTCTCCTGCAGAAATCCCACTAAAAGCAGAGTAAGGGACTAAAAAGGTATAAATCAGTAAAAATCAGTGCGATGACAGCAGAGGAGAGATGCCAACTAGACGCTGGACATTGGGAACATCAGGATGAAGGGAGAGACCTGCTTGAGCTGCACCTTAGTTCTGCTAAGAGCCCGCAGGGGAGACGTGGCCAGGAAGTGAGCCGCTTGGGTGTTACAGGTTCCCCTGTAAAGACTCTGGGGCTGCAGAGGTCAGGCACCCAGAGAGCGGTAGGTGGGGAGGCTGAGAAGAGGAAGGCTTTTTGCACATTTTACGGGGTTACTTGAGGATATACTCCACAAAAACAGTAGTGTAAACCAACAAAGAGGGCACTGTAGGATTCAGGGAATGCGGGATTTAACCCAGGGCAGAGTAAACGTAAAGTAGACGGTGAAGGCTCAGTCCCAATCAGCCATGGTGAAGTCACTAGATGATGTCTGAGACTGAGAAGTCTGGGAAGGGAAGTGTCCTAGCAGCACACACGTGTCACTGGGTGAGAAACAGCAGAAGAACAGCGGATAGAATTAAATGTGGCTGACTCTGGGGAGCAAGACTTGGGGGCAAAGAGAGACTTGGGCAGGAATGCAGCTCTCACTAGAGGCCTTGGGGTGCTATTGGAATGTTTAAAATTATGCATATGTATATGAGTTACTTTGAGTAAAATATTTAAAAATTTTAGTAAGGTGACAATAATCATCATCACAACCTGGTGGGATTGTTTAACAATCAAAGAATTACACTCTGAACAGTGGCTGATGCATATTCAACACGTCTTAGTTTTACTTACTGTATTTTAGGGTTAATTATTATTACGTTCATGATTAATGTTAGGGATGTTAGTTCCGTCTCTTGTCGCCCCACCGCCACCCCCAAACTGTGGCCAGGTCAGCATGGTGGGTTTTGTTGAGACTACAATCCCTAGCCATTCTGTGGGAGGCCGAAGTTGACCAGCCCCTCCCTGTCCGCCCCCCCTCCCCCGCCTCCCCGTGACTGTGGGCCAGAGGCGGGTTCATCTCACGCTCTATCTCCAAGGTTATTCCAGAGTCACCTAATGTACCCTGGGGCTTAGGTTCTGGGCTAGTAAAGCTACTGGTCCCCAGGGACCAGCTGGCTTTATGTCCAAATGTGTGCCTGAGCCCTTTGTGCAATCTGTGGTTCTGCTCCCAAGTAAAAATGTCCCAAAGGCAAGTCTCAAGTTCAAGAAACAGCAGCCTAGGAAGCCTTTGATAGTCACAGACACACCAGTAGTCTGCTCAGCTGTGGGCTTCATTGTTGGACATTTGGTTGCTACCATTTGCTCGTGGGGGCACTATTTTTGGCAGATGCACTGCACAGACTTCAGAGTTCAAGCCAGGATGTCTCATTGCTTTACCAATGCTGCAGATTTTAACATCTCCTCTTCTCTGGATTGTACAACAATTATCGTGATTATTTCACACCAGTCAAGCTCTCATGGTGGCAAGTAGCAAAACAGAAAATTATTGCAATAAATAGAAGGTGTGAGAAGATTTATGGTGTCGCTTAATCACCCGGCACTGAGGGAGCAACTGCTCTGTGCAAGGCATTGCGCTAGGCGCTGAGTCAGCTATTGTGCAAACAACTGTAATAATGGTTTGGTTATTATTTGACTGGCTAATTTTGTTAAGAGACAGTGTATCTGTTTGCATCTTAAAGTAATGAAACACGACGAGATCAGACCTAAATCACAACAATGGTAATTTCCTTCCTCTCAAGAGACGTCGGAAGCAAGGGAGAGAGCCGATTCCATATCTCTGCAATACATCCTCAGCAGTTCCACCACCCCAGTGCCGTCTATATTCTGGCATTATCTAATTTGGTTTTGAATCTTAAGCAGAAATGAATAGCCATGCGATTATAATAATTGTATGCTAGGTTTTTAGAACAGCTTTCCTTCTAAGAGCACAAGGCTCTCTGAGCCCTGCAGATGTTCCATCAATCCGTGTGCTCCTAATAGGAAGCACAGTGAGGTCAGTTCTAGATGGTCTCAATATTGGTGTCAAGCGTTGTGGACTGGACTGACTTGTGTACAGTTGAAAAAGCGCCCTTCATACCACGCCTTCTAGGAATGAACTCCTGCAGTGCTGTCTCTAGGAAAGGAATTCTATACCAATGTGATTCAATGAGTAAGAAGCCTTCTTCTTTTTTTAATGACTGCTGTGTATACTGCATGTCAACCAGCAGGTGAATACCAAGAGTACACAGTAAACACAAGCTAGAGAACAGGGAAACATAACCTCAGCGCCATCTTTTTCTTTTTTCCTCCCATGTGTCTAAACTTTAAGTGGCTAATGGCCTGGGCTATGCTATTTTCCTATGTTAGAGGATTTTGTTTTTATTATTATCATCTAGAAAATTTAGAGTGAGACTCTCTGCACTAAGAATTGGGCTATTTCGGGAGATGCCATTTCTGTTAATTTTCTGTAAAGTTCTGCACTGTAGTTTTCCTGCTGCGTGCAGTCTGGATCTACAAAGGACCTCTGAAGTGCAGAAACGTCTACAACGGATGTAACACAAGGCTGGGTGGGGGGAGCATTACCCCTCTTTCAGTATCGCCATCTGGACTGGATTAGTGTTAATGAGTTACTTCATTCTTAAATTAATACAAAAGCATGGACACCAGCTTCTTTCTCTCCTCCCAAGAGCAACTCTCACTCCCATTGGGAAGGACTGACTTGGAAAAACATTCTCCTATAAAACAATTAGCCCGTGATTAGTAAACCAGCATTCAGTATAGCGACCCACTAGAACAAACAAACAAGTGAAAACAAGCTTCAAATGTGTGTGACACACGGCAGGACCATACCTGCTGGACTCCTGCTTGTAGATGTCAATGATGTTTTCCACCAGCAGATTCCTCTGAAGGCCGTATATCCCGTGTCTGTCCAAAACCACTTCATGTCTACAGGATGGGCAGCGGAATCGGCCCCCTGAGGCCACCGTGGTGCCTCCTCTCGTGGGCAAGTACGGGTTAGAGGCCTGTTCTTGCCAAGCAAGGAAAGAGGAGTTGAGTCATGCACAGCTAGCCTTTTTGAGACTTCCTTTCGTTCTCTGTTACTACAAACGACACGAACTCCTCCTTTCAGCTTGTCGTGAGATAATCCCTTAGGGCCTTATCAGCAACTGGTCCTAAAACACAGGGCCAGCACTTACCCACGGTCAGTTGCAACGTGCCATGTTCAGTATCAGTGCTTTTCCACCCAGTGTTTTCCTTACCAAAAGTTCCAGCCAGAAGCTCCCACCATTAATGTCTTCAACAGTAATTCATTTACAGTTTTGAAACAGATTCAATTTTTTAAAAAACAAATATGATTCTTAGTTTTGAAATAAAATTCGATTTGAGGGTAAGGAGGAGGCTGACAGCAAATCACAAAGTAAATCACTTAAAAAAATTTTGTTTAAACAAAGGCAACCTTATAAAGCTTTCTAAAGGAATTCACCTCAAAGTTAAGCACTTGATTCAGAGAGGAGGGGATCTTTTCCCACCCTATATTCCAAACAGACCTACCTGGAAAATGTCACTGGCGCATTTCCTACAGAGGTTATGCTGGCAGGGGAGAATGACCACGGGTTTTGTGAACATCTCTAAGCAGATGGGACAGATGAGTTGCTTCTCCAAGTTATCCATGGTCTGCTGCTCTTTGGAAAAAGACTTGTAATTCAAAGATGCACTCATCTCCTGGCCGTCCCCGTGTGCACTGCCAGGGAAAGGGTGCTCCGAGTGGTTTCTGCAAGTGATTCCTGGAAATAATTCCAAGGATTGTGTGATCAAGTGTCCTTTACGTTTCTTTCGGTGGAGGACATTGTTTCAGGCCCAGGTTCAGAGTGGTGCTGGAGCTGTTTTTAGCAGCTGAGGGTCACGTGGCAGCAGGCTGACTTGTCCATATAAGCCAGTGACAGAAGGATGGACTCTGACAGGTGACAGAGAACAGGGGCCAACATTCCTGCCCCCCGGGAGCGAAGAGAGTGGGTGGGAATGAGGATTACGAACCCCATTTAGATGGGGTTGTAAAGAGAGGGAGGTGAAGCTGACAGTTGTCAACAACAAATGGAAATGTTCGTGCCGAGTCACTGAGCTGTGCCCTCTGCGAGCCACTCAGTAAGGACCTGGCTTCTCCAGCACCCGGGAGAATGTAGTCCAAGAGCCTCACTGTATAACGAATGCCATTTCTGTCTTGAAAACTTAGGAAGCAAGTCACCAAAAGTAGCACGATCACACTGTCTTAGGTGAAAACAAACAAAACATGTCTTAAATATCTTTATGCAGGTTTCACAAGGGTCATCATCAAAAAGACTTGCTTAGTGATAAAGAGTTCACCTTTGTGAGGGTTGTGAAATGGGGAAAGTTCCCACTTAAAAACTGATTTCAAATCTTTTTACCATAAAAATGTCCACAAAATTAAAAAAAAAATCCAAACACCAGTTGATGATCCAATTAGAAAAAAAAAGTTGTATAATCAAACGCTAGTGGGTTCTTTTCCACATTTCTCTTCCTTTTTCTTAATTCTCTTCCATCTTGTATCCCACCACCAGGTCCACCCCACACCTAAAACATGAAGAAAATTCGACGATCTTTAAAAATTTAAATTTAGTTTGCACCAACAATCAGTAATGAGGTAGAAACTGGCCCGTGGGGTAGCAGACTCGTTATTTCATTTTGCTGTGTAGTGGGGGATAGATATCAGTGCCGTTGCCAAGGGAACGGAAAATGGAATCCTGCTTCCATGCCTGGGTTTTGTTCTGGTCTAGAATACCTACACCCCTTTGCCTTTGCCTCACTTACCAAGTTGGTTTTTTAAATGATAGTTTCCCTGGTCATTTCTGATATTCTTGGTCTGCTCTTGAATCAAAAATTTTCCTAGCATTCGCCAGGATTTTGTGATACAAATGTTTCGTCTGTATGTCTTATTCAAATATTTAAAATCAGATCAAAAATGAAAAAGAAATACGTGTCTATTTTTTATGTGATGAATTTGCCAGCTTTAGTTCTCCTTGTTTTTAAAGACCCCATACAATGAACACATTTTGTTAACATATCTTTATTACCAGTGAAGAGTAGGTCCTTGTGACTGGTTGTGGGTGCCCTTAGGGCTGTGTGCGCTGAGAGCTTATCGAGAATCTAATAAGCTCTATTAGCTAATAATAAGTTGTATGTATTCACAAACATTTCAGACATCTTTGGAGGATTTTGTTACTCCTTTCAATATCTATTTAGCAACTACAGTGAGGAAGGGAATTGGCAACATTTTTTTTACTGTTAACTCAGTTCACCTACTCTAGGCAGTTAATTGTGTTTATTATTACGTGGGCTATGGAGGTCTTAGCACAATATGAGAGCTATTTTATAAGAAAAATGTTTAAGTCCCTACTGTAAAAGACCTTGCAACCTAGGGAAAAGCACTTTAATAATATACATTGTAGCCTGTCATGTCCTTTTTAGAGGGATTCATTCTTTCGAAAAATATTTGTTAAGTGTTTATCATATGTCTCCACTGTGCTCGGCTCTGGGGATTGAAAAATGAACAAGACAAGACATAGGTCATTGTCCTTAAGGAGCTCAGTCTGATCAATAGTAGAGCTAAAATATGCATATGCAGCAGCACATTAGGAAAAAAAACTCGGTAGAGAACTGTGGAGTTCAGAGTTGGAGGACGCAGGGGGGTCTCTTGGCTGCGGTGGCACTTGAAGTGGCCTGCTGAGGAGCTTGGGTGTGTAGTTAGGTGGGGCGCAGGTGAGGCCCTCTGAGACAAGGCACAGAAGCAGACAGTGAGGTGCAGGAGTGCAGGGAATGCTCAGAGCGCGCGGTGCTGTGGGCTGGAGCGTGGAGCACACTGCTGGCACATTGGCAGGCCATGAATACCAGCCTGAAGAGTTTTTAACACTTAATAAATTAGGCAACAGGAAGTCGTTGAAGGTTTCTCACAGGGACATTTCCCTGAGAGCTGCGCATTGGTTAGATTCATCTCCCACAGGTGGCTGGGATAGATTGGAGTGAAGGTGACCTGGCTAGAGACCAGATGGGAGATTGCTGCCAAGAGCCTAGGTGAAAGGTCACGACACCCTGGCACTGGGTGATGGCAGTGGGGAAGGAGAGGAGGAAATGGACTCCGGGTGCTACGAAAATAGCGTCCACAGAGGTGACTCAGATGACCTGAGTCTGAGCAACCACGGTGAAGCACAGTGAGTCAGGACACAGGCCTGTCCAGCACCTGTGTCCACCTCGCTTGCTAATCTTAGGCAAGTGACCTCGCCCAGCTGGATTTCAGTTCTTTTATCTGTGAGTGGGGTTCATTACCTAACTTAGCAGTATTTGTAGAAAAACCATTTTGAAATAGCATAAATTTTGACACTGAGAATCCAAAATTGAGTTATTTGATGTAGAGTTGAGCCCTGTCCTCTCCTCTCTTTTATTCTCTCTGCTCCTTCTTGCTCTCTGCCTTTCCTTTTGTCTCAGAACTGCCCCCGGAAGCTACACAGGAAACTAGCAAGAATCCACAGGAAGAAGACCCAAGTTGATGGATAAGAACCACCTTCCTCTCCTCATCCGCAATGGCCATGACTGAACTCCTTACCTTGGCTCCAAGGTCAAGGAGGCTTGGCTCCACCCTCAGCACATGCAATCTAGCCTTACCTCCCTTCCACTCTAGACTGCTAAATGATTTCTCTGAATTCACTCTTGCCTTGTGCAATCTGTTTCTCATGTGTCACTCTCTATTTAAATCCCATTAATGGTCATATTACCTCTAGGATAAAGACATTAATCCTCACTGTGATCCCTAAGGCCTGACATGATTTGGCCCCTACCTACCTCTCTGACTTAACTGTCCAATAGAAATAAAATGTGAACGTCAAATATGAACAATATATAAGATTTTAAATTTCTAGTAGCCACATTAAAAGAGAGAAACCAATGAAATTAATTTTATTAATATAGTTTATTTAACCCCCAAACATAAAATTATTATCATTTCAACAAATAATCAATATTTTGAATAATGAGATATCTGTGAATAGAAATAGCTTTACTTCTGTCTTTCCAATCTGGAGGTCCTTTACTTCCTTTTTCTTGCCTTATTTCACTGGCTAGAGATCCCAGAATGGACTAGCTTGCTTTTTTCCTGATGTTAAGAGGAAAGCATTCATGCTATTAAGTATAATGTTAGCTTTGTGTTTTTCACTGATACCCTTTATCAGGTTGGAGAAGTTCCCTTCCTTTCCCTTGCAAGTTTGATGACAGTTTTAAAAATCAGGGCTGGATGTTGAATTTTGTCAAATGCTTTTTCTGCATCTAATGAAATAATCATGTAGTTTTTCTTCTTTAGTACTATGGTGAATTACATTGATTTTTGAATGCTGAATTAGTCTTGTATTCGTGGGAAAAAAACCACTTGGTCATGATGCATTTTCCTTTTGATATATTGTTGGATTTAATTGTCTAAATTTTATTTAAATTTTTTTGCATATATGTTCATGAAGGACATTGGTCTGTAGTTTTCTTGTAATGTCTTTGGTTTGGGGATCAGGGGAATGCTGGCTTCATAGAATGAGTTAGACAATGCTCTCTCTTCTTCAATTTTATGGAAGTCTGTGCACAATTGGTGTTATTTTTTCCTGAAATGTTTGGCACTGAAGGCATTTGGGCCTGCTGTTTTCTTGATGAGAGAAATAAATGAATTAATGCACGTAAAGTAACTAGAATTGTGCTTATCTTGCAGGAGGTGTTGAAGAAATGTTAGGTGTTAATTTTTAAAAATTCATCTATATTTTCAATTAAAAATAATAAATGTTTATTGCAGAACTTGCAAAATATTTTTAAATTTTAAGGAAGAAAAAATCATAGTACTCCTACTATCCAAAGATCACTACTGTTAACATTTTAATGCGTTCTTCACTATTTCCTACAGATAATTTATGGATGTTTATATTGCTGTTGTTTATATTGCTTTATACCTACTCTATTCAGTTAACATTCAGTTATTAACATTTTCCATGTCAATAGAAGTTCTTAATAAATATAATTTCAATGGCTATACCATTATACAATCATGCCGTAATTTATTTAACCATCATTTTGTACTTTTAGACTTGTTCTACTTTCCTGCACAGGAGACTCAAATACCTCTTTCATGTACTTCAGTATATGTTTATATAAATGCACATACAAACCCTCAGAATATTCCCTCCAGACCTTCCCTCTATGGCGTGCTGATAACATAGATAGATAACAGCTAACGTTCATTGTGTTTACTATGTGCCAGGCACTGTAATAAGGCCTTTATGTGTTATACCTTAATTAAAAGTAGGTACCATTATTATCATCCCTATTTTTACAAATGAGGAAGCTGAAGCACCAAGATGTCAAGCAACTTGCCCAAAGTCACCCAGCTAAGAAATAGCGAAGACAAGAAAGTCTATCAGGCTTCAGAGCCCACATGACTAACCACTGTGCAGTAGTGCCTCTCACCTTTGCCTTTAGATTTTTTAATATGAATTCCATTCCACCTGAGTTGTTGATTCTGACTTTGTCTGAGCTCTTGCCCAGCTCACCTGCTCCAAACATGTGTTCTCCACCTGGATTTGGGGTACATTCCTTCCTATTTCTTTACTTACTATCCATTTCTTGCTCTTGTAGTTATACATAGTTTCACTGCCAGCTCCTCCAGTCAGCCAGCTAAAACACCCATCATCCCAACCAGAAATTGGGACATTTCATCTGATAAAAGGATTCTTCTTTTTTTTACTTTGTATATTTGTTTTCACAAAAATAATGATATATTTTAAGTGAATCATTATACATTCAATTCAAAGATTTTATTGAAAAGAATTTAAAATGGAGGCTGCCCTAGAAAATGAAAGAAACACCAGTTAAAAAAAAGCAGGTTGTATACATGGGTCACAAAAACATGTAAGTTTCTAAAATGGACATAGGATTAAAGTATTTTCATTTGTTAATTGTAATCCCCCCAAAAAGTATTATCTCTGCCTTTGAAAGATTTATATCTTGTGTTGAGAACTGCAGTGTGGTTTTTCATGGCTGTATTCTAGTAAATTAGAATAGAGAGGATTTATTACCAGACAAGCCTTTGTGTATATTCTGCTAAATTTCCAAAATCTTTCAGTGAGTATATTTGTGTTTGTTTTTGTCAGGTCTTTGTTTAACAAAACAGACTACCCTCAAAGGCAGCGCTAGGTAGAACTTTTCTCCAATTGTGGTCTCTAGTTAACTCTCCACAGTTACTATCCAGGAGAAAAATGGCATTAGGATCCTCATTCAGCAATAAGCCTCTGGGCCTTTCCCACTTCCTGACCACTCCTCAGGTACCCCTACCTTCATCATACCCATCTGGGATCTGCCAAGAGCCGGGCACACCACTGTATGCAGTTTAAATGGACCAGAATAGTCCTCGCCGCCTTGGCTCAACATAAGTTTAAAGTAGTCAACTTCCTTTTCCAAGTTCTGTTTTTCATTTTGCTTTTCTGTCAAGTTTCTCCTAACTATGGGCAGTTTAAACTCAGATATGTCCCTGTAAGTGCAACCATTAGTTACAAATCACAAAGGAGTCAGTGTCGACAGATGTGACTGCAATCCGTCGCTATTTTTGGAAAGAAAAAGAACCAATTTTGCGAACTTCCCAAAGTAAATGGGTCTAAAATTTTAAAGTTAGAAAAATTAATCCTGCTAGCACCCGTTATCCCTTGTCTGGGTAGTTTCAAGAGCGGTAACCTTAAGCTCGCTTAACGTCTCACTTGCCCCAGTAGCCAACTTGCAGCTCTAGTTCGAGCTGAGACTCGAAAGAAAAAGTACCACGCGAGACCAAGAGAAAAACTGGAGGATGCGGGCATCGATCCCGCTACCTCTCGCATGCTAAGCGAGCGCTCTACCATTTGAGCTAATCCCCCACCGCTGGGCACGGCTGGTTATCGCTTCCTCTAGAGAGAGGTCATGGCATTTGGCAGTGACGATAAATATTCTTGACCGCATTCTTGATCTTGTCTAGTACCTAAGATCAAAGTAACAAAATGAAAGCTTTCCTTCGAGCCGGAATCGAACCAGCGACCTAAGGATGGCCGCGGACTAGCGTCTACAGTCCTCCGCTCTACCAGCTGAGCTATCGAAGGGAGCGGGAAGACGGCCCGCCAACTTAGCTTCATAACATTTGGTCATTTCTAGGTTTCGTGCGTTTTCTACCGAGTTCCCTTTGTAATTCCCGGGTTCTCTGAGCGCAAGATCCTCCTCGCGGACCTCCCACCTCCCACGGCAGCCGCAGCGAGGACTCACGCCGCCGACCCTGCCCGGGCTCTGAGGAGAAGGTCCGAGGCCTGGCCCTGGGGAGCAGCCGTTGGCTCGAGACGCCGCGTGGTCGCCGTGGCTTTCTCTGTCTGACTCTGGGGCTCGGAAAAGGCCAAAGGCGCTTTAGAATTCAGTAAAAGGCAGCGACCCGGCAGCCGCCCCGTCGAGCGCAGACTTGGACCTCTCATCCCCGCTCCCGGGACTTGCAAAAGGTTTCACAGCGGGGAAGCTGACAGAGGCCAAAACTGGAGCGAAAGTGCAAGAGCTTCCAGCTGTTCTTTGGAACGTGAGGTTTTATAGAGAAGGATATTTGTGGAAAAGATACCCATGGAAAGGACCATAAATCATATGAAGTTGAAAACAAAAAAAAAAAAAGTTGTCTCCTTCGAGCCGGAATCGAACCAGCGACCTAAGGATGACTTCCAGTCAGTGTCAACTACAGTCCTCCGCTCTACCAGCTGAGCTATCGAAGGGACGGGCAGAGCACGCGCGCCCCCGAGATTCAGTACATAAGAACCAGAGCGCGCTCGACAATTAGCCAGAGATCAAATTGAGCATGCGTAGTGGAGGGAGCGGGCGCGAAGGGAGGCTGTGCCGGGGTGGTGTCTTACGCATGCGTAGAAAGACAACCCGGCTGTGGCTCGGGGGAACCTAACTAAAGTAGGGCGGGAAAGACTGAGAGACTCCGACGAACGACCGCGTACCTGTCGCGCTTTTTCTTTACTAACCTGTGTTAGAGGAATTACTGTCGAGTGTGAAGTCACTACTGTGTAATCTTTATTTCCCCTCAGATCTCTCCTTGTGTGGGCCTGTGGTGCCACGGGTAATGCGTCAGACCACGAACCAGAGGATTGTAGGTCCAATTCCCTTGTTTCAAAGTTTTTGTCACCTGTTTCCAAAATTAGAGGTTTCTACTTCCTCTGGTTTCTCCAAAGCACAAATGCCCAGAGAGATTTACCGCACTTGGAGAGCGGAGGGCTGTGGCCCCTGGTTTCCAGGGCCGCGCTGTCGAACTTCGCAGATGTTGGGAAGTTCCGGAGCGCTGACAGGTCGCCGTAGGCCGGGCCTGGAGGACGGCTCGGGGCGAGGCGAGGAAACGAGGGGCGGTTCTCAGGGGCTCCAGGTCGGCAGCCGGGGAGGGAGCCCCAAAGCCAAGCCCTCTGTCCAAGAGGGAGCTGGTTAACATCCCGGGGCTGCTTCTCCCGCGGCTCTGCTCGTCGGGGCCTGTAAGCGCCTGCAGTTCCTCAGGTACTAAACTACCTCCACTCTTGCTGACAACGGAGAGGGGGGAAAATGTTACAAGGTCTTTTTGAGCCCGTTCCTGTTGTACATTTCATTTAACAAAGGTATTGAGCCCCTTCTCGGCTGTCAGCAGCTCGGAAAAACCATCTAAGGCTTTGGTTTCTGCCCTCAAGGGCCTTTTAACCAAGAGGCTGTAATACTGGTTTGAGCTGAGTTTTTATTTTGCAGTTATTAGTCTTATATGTTGAAAGGAGTTTAGAATAAGCCTCCTCAAGTAGGGTAGCTATTCCCCAAGTAGAAGTTTTAATGAAATGTGAAGATGCATTAAGGAAGAGAAAGAGTGAGGTTAGGGAAAAGAGCCAGTTAAGTGGGAAGGCGGCTTCCTTAAGGCTTCACAAACATGATTAAAGGAGTTAAACAGTTAGGGGGTGGGGTCAAGCACAGGCTATTTGAATAAAATGATGATGGGTTTTATTTTTGTTTCCTAGGGAGCGTTTTGTCATTTTTTTAAACGCAACAAACTGATAGCTCTTTAAAGTTATATCGTGTTTCTGAGAGTTAAAAAAAATAATCTCTGTGAGAAGTTGGGGAGATATGTCGCACCCCTCCTCCCAAGTTTATGGAAAGAACCTTGTAAGTTAGAGGAAAGGGCCTCCATCTTGTTTGTACCTTCGCATTTTATGAGGGTGGCAAGTAAGGTGTTTATGATCTGCAGAGGTCACTGTCATGTGCACTTCGGCAGGAACCCTGGCCCCTTTGGTGTAACCCCTTCTTCTCCCACAACAGCCAGCATGACCAGAGTGATGCGTTCCAAAAGGGTCAGGATGTTTCATGATTTCTGTCTCTCTTACTTGTGATAGAAATTCACACAGAGCTAATGTAAGCAAGAGATATTTGTTATGATGTTACAGGGGTGTCCCAAAGAAACCATGGAGGAAATGTAACTAGGCCTCCTTATGATTTTCCTCAGTGCTTCCCAGCTCCTCTCTATGCTTCTCTAGCATGCTGCTAGCCAGCCCCCTACCCTAAAAGTTACTGTTGTCTATTGTTGAGGATTGAACATCACCCCCCCATTCAGATATTTAAAACCTAATATATTAGGAGGTGGAGCCTATGGGGAGGTGATACGGTCATGAGGGCAGAGCCTTTATGAATGGGAATAGTGCCCTTGTGAAAGAGGCCTCAGAGAGATCCCGCCTCTCTTCCAGTCTTGTGAGAATACAGTCAGTTGGGCACATGTGATTGCGTCCCTCCTTGAGATCTCAGTGAAAGATAATAAAAATACACAAAAAGAAAAGTTCTTTTGCCCCCTGGAAAACAAAGTAGGTACAGTCAGCAAACCTGAACTTTTAAATAATTTCTGAGATGGGGAAAGCAAATTAAATTGTATGGACATTGTCAGCCAAGGGGGGGCTGAAGAGGTATTTGACGAGGTGAGCTGCCCAACTGGAAAAATGCACCAGGGGCCGACATGGAGCAAAACAGCACTTTATTGCAGTACAAGTGGGAAGCGCGGGTGCCCAGGTGTATGCACTTGTCCTTTTATAATGCTAGTGGTGCATGCGCAGTGTTCATAATGCCGACTCACTCTACTGGCGCATGCGTAGTGTTCCTAATGCTTACTCATGCTACTAGCGCACGCGTACATTTACCTCTGACCAGGTGCAAGCTATTGTGAACTTTGGCCTGAGCCCCACTTAAGGCTGCCGACAGACACATAGGTCAGAATCGAGAAAAATTGCAGCTCGGAGTATGTATCCTAGAAGCTTTCAGAAACAAAACCATATTCCCCAGGGAGACCCCAAGAGGCTCTAGGCACGGAGGCAGCAGCTCACAGGTCAGAGGCTCACGACGTTATGCAGATGCTTCTGTATTTGCCCACAGCTGGAGCTACCTGGAGAACTGCTTAAGCAAAGTAGGTTTGCCTGGGGAATATAGGGCTGCGGAGAGAGGCAGAGTAAAACCTAATAATAAGAGACATGGTAAGAAAGAAAGGCTACCTCTTCACCACTCTCAGGGTCTGTGAGTCCTTCGTTAAGTTGGCAGTTTGGGGCATCTTGGGCTCGCACCATGTAAATGGAAAAGCCTACTTAGCCACTTTACAAATACAAGTCAGTATTGTCCTTGATTCATGAATATGAACATATGTCTACCAGACATTGGAGAGGAAACAAAAGCAGCTTAAAAAAAGAAACTCCTAGGTGAAAACAACAAAATAACTGACCCGGGAGGAAACAGAGATAATGCAAGGAATAGTACAGAACTACTTTTTAGAATGCTGATATCTTTAGGGGCATCCATGAGGATACCTAACCAACAAAATAAAAATAAACATAAAACAAAATGAAAATAAAAAAAGCAGAACAAGGTGATATTAAAAGGAACGACAACAGAAAAATTGTTTTCTGGAAAACTAAAAGTGTGATTGCTAAGGTGAAAAGTTAAATTTCCTAGTATGCTATATATTGAATTTAAAAAATAAATTCCATGCTAAATAAACTTTTGAAATTAAGTAATTTTATAGAAAGCTGTTTTGCTAGTAAGTGAATCAATATATAGACAATACTTTTAATTGCCTGAGGACTTTCATGTATGACTTTTATAAAGCTAAGCTAGATTAGCTTTAAAATACTGCTTTTTGCAATTATAATAAATAATTCTGAAAATGCCGGTTTAGTAAGTAGTTAATGTATATACATGACCAAATAGATTGTTCTAAAATAAAAAATTTAAGAAAATGTTGGAATTTCATTGCCGAAGTGAATATCTGTACTAAAAAATGTCCCCCAATTTTTCTCCCCCAGAAAAGAAAGTGTATTGTGGATGAAACTTGAGTGGAGATAAATCTGGACAACATCTCAGGAGTGGGGAGATATTTGGGTACCAGAGCAGATTGCTTAGAAGTAAGAAGAAAAGAAACCCTCCCCAGGTATGATCTCTCTCCCTGGCATTGGGAATAAGGATGTGCCTGGTGGACTTTCAGGCATTGGAGAAGCTGATAATCAGATTTTCTGCTGTTAGAAAGCTCAGTTGGTAGCCCAGCAGTGAGCAGAATGTGTTAACAGCTGTCCTGTGACTACTGATTTGATTCTAGGGATTTTGTTTCGCTTCTCGGGGACAGCCCTGGAACAGCATGAAAATTCCAGAAAGCTGTTATCGCACTTACCCCTTCACTTGGCACTGAGCATGTGAAGGTCTTCTTTTGGAGAAGGACTTTTCTCAGAAATGAGGATATATGTTGTGAGAATCAATCAACAGCGATGTATTGGTTTCCTACTTTGTTTTTAGCACTGTGCGAAATACAGATGTAAAGTCTGACTCTTAGGATGTAGTTCCAGAAATCACTGCTAATTTGAGCCAACTGCTAATTTTATGGAAACTAGTTAAACATGAGGTAATCTAAATTTCTGGCCCTTTGTGGTCTAGAACTGCTCAGGAATAATATGAAAATGAATGTTACTTAAGTGTTTAGGAGGGCTGGAAGAAGTGCAGTTTTGGAGAGGAGGACTTGTGTTTCTTGAATAAAGGTCTTTCTCTGTTGGGAGGACTGTTATCCTGGAAATGGACATTTGCCTTCATATCAGTAAGGAGTAAGGGGTGACAGGCTGCTGAAATTCTTTTAAAAGATAACTAATTGGGTCAGAGGTTTGATTAAGTGCCAAGGTAACATATTAATTTTCGCTATTAATATGCTAAGGCTTCCTAAAAACTAAGGATTCTAGCAGCTTTTGCATTTCTAGCAGGTAGGGATTTCTTTATTCTATGACACAGGTTAAAATTTTTCTCATATAACAAATATTTCCCAGCCATCTATCATGTGTCAGGCACTGTTTTAAGCCCGGGGATTGAGGACACAAGACAGACAAAAACCTTTGTGTTTGTGAGGTGGGAGAAAGATAAAAAGTATGTTCATGAAAGGTACTAAGGATAAAAAGTAGAGAATAGGAAGCGTGAGGTAGGGGATGTTATAGTCCTAGGCAGGGTGGTCAGGGAAAGCCTACAGAGAAGTGACATTTGAGAAAAGATCTTGGGCAAGTCTCCTGATTATATGTTCTAAATTAATCTAATTTTGACTCAGAGCTATAGTTTAACAAGGTAGCGAGAAATTTCACCTCCTAGGTTTTGAGAGTCCCTCCCTTTCTTAGGGCTGCAAAGTGTCTGTAGGGATTATATCTTTGTTCCCCAAGTGAGTTTTGAGCCCTTCGTATTGCTCCAGCCTGGGTCCTGAGGTTTCAGTATCCAGCCCTGTGTGGTTCCTTTGATGGGCCAGATGTGGGCACAGGAATCTTTCCTTATGTCTACAAAGCCATTACTTAATTTTGTCACCTGAACATCCAATTGCTAGCTCATCAGAGGCTCTCCCCGGTGGGGACACAAGTCTGGGATACTCTTGGAACTTCCCCCAAAACTCTCAAACCCAGCTTTAGTCTAGAGGCCCCTCATGATGGGGGTACTTCTCTTCAACAAGGGTGTGACCTTTTTAAGATAAAGCAGAAGAGTATTCGTTCCTTTAAGTTTCCGAAAGCACTAAGAATGAAATTAATGTCTAATACATTATCTTACCATACATTCAAATGAATGTAGTCACTATAAATTATTTCTATCTGTCAATACTCAGAGAAGTGAATGAAAAATACTTTTGTTCCTCCTGTGCCTATTAGCATTATGATTATTTGCACTTGAGGCTGGAGAGGAGAAGACATTCCTTTAATAAATAATATGCTGTTGCCCAGACTATTTCTCTCTCTCTCCACCGCCACCAGTAGGGGTAGATTGCCAGTAGTTCAGTTTATCTAAAAGTCCTAGTAAATGTGAAGGTAGAGAGTTGACAATGGTGATCAGCGAGATTAGGAGACTAAAACAGAGAAATGAAGGTCAAATGTAAGAAAGGTAGAAGTGGGAGAAGGGAGGAGGACAGGGAAGAAGATGGATACTGAGAAACAGGGAAGAGAAAGGACAAAGGAGAAAATAAGAGATACAGGATGAGGGAGTGAAATATAAAATAAGGAGTAAGAAGGACAATGAAGAAGCAAGTGAGGAGCGCTGATTCAGTATTAACAGTTTTGGAGGTCAGAAGTTAGACCTGGGTGTCATTGGGCTGAAGCAAGGTGTTGGTAGAGCTGTGTTTCTTTCTGAAGGCTCTAGAGGAGAACTCATTTCCTTGAGTTTCCTAGCTTTTAGAGGCTGCCTGCATACCTTGGTTCATGGCCCTTTCCCTCTTCTGTCTTTAAAGCATATCTTTGATCATCCTCTGATCTTCAGTTGCATCTCTCTGATCATTCTTCTGTAGTCACACCTCTCTCTCCATAGTCAGGAAAGGCTCTCCATTTATAAGGACCAGAGTGATTAGATTGGGCCCATTTGGATAATCCAGGATAACCTTCCTATCTCAAGGTCGTTATTAATGACATCTGCAGTCCTTTTTGCATGAAAGGTGATGTATTCATGGCTTCTGGGAGTTAGGGCAGGCACATCTTGGGGGGCCGTTACTGTGCCTGTTATCACAGGGCTCATTCAGCCGTAAGTGGCACCCTTTCTATGGGTCAGAGGATGAGGCAGTGCATTACCAGGTAAGTGTATTTCCAAGCTAGGCCATGTCAAATGTGTTTCTGTCTGTATACCATTGGAAATGCAGAATAGAATGTCATTTATGCTCAAAGAAATAACATATGTGTGTTCTGGTAAATAAAAATTCATATATTTTTTTATTATATTCTAATGTAAGACAACAAAAAAATAAATGGATGACCTATGAAACCTTGTATGAAATCCCCTGCTCTAATCGCCTGGAGGCCAGGATTAGGTCCTGAGCCACTGAAGTGGGAAGTTTGTTTAACCCTGCGTTAACCAGGGCCATGCAACCATTGCTGAGGATCATGGTCAGCATATCTCTTCTTTCCTTGTTGCTTCTCTGCTAAAATGCTTGTGGATTCAGAACAGCAGGTGATTCCAGATGGCACCTCCTGCTGACTCCCATATGATTCTTACCTGTCCCCTCCTCAGATGGAGAGTTGATCCTTGTTTCTATGTAGCTAAGAGGCATTCTGTAGAGTTCATTCCCTCACTCATAGACATCCATGTGCTTGGATTTGCCACATATCATTGTGACTGGAAACTAGCCCTATGTGGGAAACATTGGCTAGAACCCCTCCAGGAATTTAATTCCACCATCTGATTCTGATTCTAATTCATGTCCTGTTCTCACTGTAACCACTCTTTTACCAGCTCTCTGGGAAAGCTGGGAGTAGAAGTAAAAAGTTCTATGTGAGAAAGAAAAATGAGATCTAATGAGGTCTGAGAGAGAAAGAAAAGAAGAGCTTTGTGATTTGCAGGTTGCTATTCAAAAACAGGATTCATGTTTTGCTTAGAGTCCTCAGGAAGGACATGTAGTAGCTCAGATTATCCAGATGTGGGGCTTTTTATCTCATTGTTCCCTTCAAATGGAAAGTGGTACTCATTTGTTAAGTACAGAGTTCTGAGCACTTGCTGGTCACTGGGATGTTACTATTGGTATCTTAATGGTTCTTGTTGGGTAAGACAGTTTATGTACGTAAGAAGTCACATTACCTTTTCTTTGTCTATGTTATCAACATATACAGACTCGTGTAAAACCATCTTACACTTCTTAAACACTTGACTCTTCACAGTTCTTTCACCTTAACTATTTCACCTGGCCTTGCAGCAATTTGGAAGGTGGACAGAGCAGGTATGAAAACGGAGTCAGAGGGAGATTAGCCATTTTATTCTTGTCTCGCTTGGTCCCAGGGCTAGTTTGTGAGAGCTTAAATTAGAACCAGGTTCTTAATTCTCAAACCAGGGCTCTTTCTATTTGATTATGTTGATTAAAGAAAGATTCCAGAAACTCAAGAGTTAGGGCAGAGTTTTAATGCTGTCACACTGTCAGAGCTGTAACACCAATTCTCACTTACAATGTATATTTAGCCTTAATTAACTTGGTGGTGGGGAAGAATAAGAAACAAAGAGAAAAGGAAATGGCATTTCATGCAATATTATATAAAAACATAAGATCTTGAAAAATGCGATATTACATAAAGAACTAAGGAAGACCTGAAAAAAACCAAACGCAAATAGTAAGCAGCAGTTTCTACCACGTAATAAATATAAGAATCAAACAAGTAAATGCAGAGATGACCTCCAAGCATAAATGTTTAACATTTGCAGAACTTAGCATTTTCTGGTCAGTGTTATTAATCTCACTGAAAATGGGGTGAGTGATATGCCTTTAAATTTGATTTTAGGCTATAGAATCGAGAATTCTATCCTTTACCTCATGTGTTTCTTTTTCTTAGTCTGACTAAGCCTTTTTTAAAAAAATTATTTTTACTTAAGAATGTTTAACACATTGTTTGGGGCTGGTTTGGGTGATTTTCTGGATCATTTATAACATTTAACCAGGTCAAAGTTTTGTTTTTGTTTTCGTTCTTATGCCAATCTAAAGTATACAAAAAACTTTCTTCCTGGTTTTATTTGTCAGTTTTCAGTGAATGACTGTGTTTAACCTTTGAAAAATATACTTTAAAATAATGTGACTTATCTTTTTTACCTAATAATTTCTTCCTGCTTCTTGAACTCTTTCTGTAGCCATGTTGAATATGAGCAGGAAAAATCTCCACACACACAAAAATTTCTCTTAAATTCTCATCTGTGTTTTACTGATGATTTGTAATGGCAGATATGAACACTGCATTTAGTTAAATAATAGATGAAAAATGGCTTCTGTTTTGGAATACTACTTTAGTCTATAAGGAATGAGGTCTGGCTCAGATAAAGGGCAGGTTCAAAAGCCTGTCCAATACCACTGTCTTACCTCATGCAATGAGCATAAAACAACTCTTCAGGCCTTTATTCATCAAAATGGAATGTGTTTCTGTTAGGAATTCTACTGAAAGAGTGAATCTGCATACTGAGAAAATTATGTAGCAATCATCTTTCCTTAACCTAAAATAAAATACAAACGTGGAAAAGTTCACAGTATTTCATGTCCCCTACCCTCCCCCATCAAGACCACCTGGAGACATGGCTGAACCAAGAGGAGATATTGTGGACCCTCAGTGGGCTCAATATTAAGAGTCTGTACAATAACTTCGAGGTCCTTCTCTGATTAGCTGTGTTTTCTCATTTGCATTTGTAGGCTGGAGAACAACTGGAAAGTCCATATCTAAAAATAAACAAAGCAAACCAATAAACACCCTCTAATGTTACATTTCCTCAGTGAGGCGAGTGGTAGATATTTGTGTTGAAATGATGATTGGCAAATCAATTTAATTCCTAAGATATTGAGATCCTACCCTTTAAAGGACTTCAAAAGGGAGGATACACTGTCTTTACTCTTCATTTAAATTCTGTCAGTTATAGAATTATAAAACCAAATCTCTAAACCCATCTTTCACCTTGAGGCAGTTGCTGAACCTGGTAAACTTGAGCCTTAGTTTTCACCATCTTGTGGGGATGAAGACTGGGCCACCACATGTCATAAAGACTATTGTGTATATCTATATGAAAAATACCTCCCAGAGCTGTGCAGGACAATTGCATATATAGCCCTGGTTGGAAGAGAAGTCAAAACTCTGCATGCCAAGAAGAGAAGCCTTAAGGAAACCAATCCTGTGACACCTTGATCTTTGACTTCTAACCTCCAGAATTCTAAGAGAGTAAATTTCTGGTTTTCAAGTCACCCAGTTTGTAGTGCTTTGTTACAGCAGCCCTGAAATACTAATAACAGACAACAAATTAACTTTACTTAGTGATCAGACATGGAACAGTGAACCTAACAAATGTAAAATGTACTGTTTTGAAGCAATGTGGAACATTTGTAAAATTGATTAAGTTTTAGTCTATAAAGCAAGCCTGAAGACATTTCAAAGTGTTATTTTATGCTGTCCGCATTCTCTAATCACAGTGCAGTTCAGTTAGATATGAATAAAAATAAAGAACCTGAAAACCCCCACAGGTTTACAAATTAAGACACATATAGGCCTAACTTACAGATTAAAGAAAAAAGTCATAATGGCAATTAGAAACATTTAGAACTCAGATTATTAGAACATATATATGTATATGTGTGTATATGAAGCCAAACTGGTACTTATTGGAAAATTTATAGCCTTAATAACTTGGTATCAGAAAAGAAAAAGGGCTGAAAATTGAGCAGTATATAAATTAAGTTAGAAAATTAACAGCAGAGTAAATTAAGACAAATAATAAAGAACAGAAATTAATTAAGTAGGAAGAATATACAAGAGAATCAGTAAAACCAAACTTTGATAAGAATAAAAATTTCAAATACCGGTGACAATGGCTAAAAAAGCAGAAATAACCAATATAAGGGATGGAAAATGGGACAATAATGCAGATACTGTAGTGCATGAAAGGTAGTAAGAGGAAATTTTGAAGAACTAATTTTATTACTAAAGAAGAAAGGAAACCTAAATGACCTATAAACATTAAATATATTGAATCAATAATTTAAAATTTATACTAAAAGACATTAGCCCAGAAAGTTTTACAAAATTATGTAGAAAGAAATAAATCCAGTAATATACAAACTCTTCAAGAAGAGTTTAAAAAGGAACACTTACTAATTTATTTCATTAGGCATACTCTTGATATAGAACCCATAAGGAATATTTGAGAAAGGAAAATTATAGGCCAATATGACTCATTAAAATAGAAACATCTAAAACAAAATATTAGCAAACCCATTTCATCAAAAAGTAAATTATTTGATACATTGTGACAACATTGGGCTTATTTCAGGATTTTAAGATTGTTTTAACATTAACCAACATACAGTTCTTCACATGAACAATTTAAAGGAGAAAAATCATGACCATCTCAATTGATGAAGAAAAAGTATTTGTTCTACCAAATTAGTAATAGAAGACAACTTTCTTAACCTGATCAAAAACCTACAGTGAACTTCATAATCATGATGCAATCTTGAAAGCATCTTCTCTTCAACATTTTACTGGCAGTGTCAACAAACAAAGAGAGGCAGGGAATAGGATAAAAAATGATAAGGGAAGGGAAAGAAAAATCAAAACTATCACTATTCACAAATGATATAAAACTGATATATAGAAACCCTAAAGAATTTATAGATAAATAGAAATAGAGAGTTTAGCTAATTTCTTGGATTTGAAGTCATTTTTTAAAAGTTTATTTATGTATACCAAAAAACCAAGTAGAAAACTAATACATAATAATTTATTTATAATTATATGAAAATGGATAATGTATTTGGAATAAACGTAACCAAAGATATATAAAATATATCTTTACTGAAAACCAATGAAGGAAACCTAAATAAATGGAGATGTATACAGTGTCACATGTTAGAGGACTCACATTCTTAAAGATGTCAATTCTTCCTAATTTATCTGCAGAGGCACTGCAATTCTAATCTAGATCCCAAATATTTTGTTTAAACAAATTTTGTGAAGAACTTGACAAAGCTTATTCTAAAATTTGGAAAAATTATGGAAACGCAAAATAATTTCCACAAAATTATGGGAAAGCAAAAGCAAAATAATATGTGAGGCTCTCCTAAAGAACAAATTAGGATGACTTGCTTAGACAGCATTATGAATTGTTATAAATGGACCTAGTGTTGCATACAGATAGACAGGATAACCAGTGGATCAGAACAGAAAGCCTAGAAACTGTTCCATATATATATTAAAACTTAATGTATGTCAAAACCAAGACTAGAAATCAGTGTACTGAGACAATTTGTTTTCTATATGGAAAAAAAATGAAATTGGAACCCTACATCATATCACTTGCAAAAATCAGTCCCAGGTTATTAAACATGTAAATGTGAAAAGCAAAACCATCAAACTTTGAGAAGACTATATGGGAGAACACCTTTATATCCTTGAGATAGGGAAAGATTTCTTAGTCAAAACAAAAAAATCACTAACCATAAAGGCAAAGATTGACATTTTGACTACATTAAAGTTAAGAATTTTTATGAGACATTTTTATGAAAATTAAGAATCTTATCAAGAGACACCATAAAGTGTCAAATGCTAAGTCACAAACTGGGAAAATATATTTTAAACAAACATAATCAATACCCAAATATTAAAAAACAAACAGAAAGAGAAAAGCAGGTGATATAATAAAAACCCAAATGACCAGTAAGATTATGAAAAGATATTCAACTTTACTAGTAATCAAGAAGATAAAAATTAGAACCACCATGGTTTACCATATCCCATCCACCAGCTTGCCACACATTTACAGTCTGGTGATGTCAAGCATTGGCAAGGATGTGAAGCAAGAGGAACTCTCATTAGCTAACGGAACTTAGTGCAACAATTTGGGAAACAACTTGGTGGTATCTCATCACTTGTAGATGCATACCTTTTGACTAAGATATTCCACTCTTATGTATATACCCAGAAAACTAGCACTCATTCACCCGGAGACATTCATAGTAAGAACATTCATAACAGTGCTGTTTGTAATGGCAAAAAGTGGAAACTACCCAAATAGCCATTAGCAGTAGAATGGGTAAATAAATTATGGGATGTTCTCACACAAGAGTATTATACAACAGTGAAAATAAATGAAAGACAATCACAATACAAATGAATTCCAGAAATGTGATGCTGAGTTTAAAAAAGGAAGTTGAAGGATAATTGTTGAGTATAAGTCTATTCATTTAAAGCTCAAAAATGCAAAAGCAAGCATTACTAGGAATATAAATATATATAGTTATAGTACTAAAAAGAATAGTGAGAAAATGATTATACACTACAGTAGTCAAGATGTGGGTGGAAACAACCAAAGTGTTCATCAACAGGTGAATAGATGCAGAAAATGTAGTGTATGTGTACAATGAAATATTGTTCAGCCATAAAAAGAAGGAAATCCTGCCATTTGTGACAACGTGGCTGGACTTTGAGTGCATTAGGCTAAGTGAAGTAAGTCAGACAAAGACAAATACTGTATTAGCTCACTTATATGTGAATCTGAAAAAACAAAGGCAAAAACAACTCACATTCATAGCAAAAGAGTTCAGATTTTTGGTTACCAGAGGCAGAGAGTGGGGGGACAAGGAATTGGATGAATGTGGTTAAAAGGTACAAACTTCCAGTCATAGGATAAATAAGTACTGGGGACATAATATACAATATGATGATTATAGATAACACTGCTGTATGGTGTATTTAAAAGTTACTAAAAGAGTAAATCCTGAAAGTTCTCATCACAGGGGAAAAAACATTTTTTCCTTTTTTTTATGCTTGTATGAGATGATAGATGTTAACTAAACTTATTGTGGTGATCATTTCACAGTATATGTAAGTCAAGTCATTTTGCCGTACACTTTAAACTTACACAGTGCTGTATGTCAATTAAATATCTCAGTAAAACTGAAAGAAAAGAAGGAAAATGATTACAAATGATTTAAGATAGAAATTACCTCTAAATTGGGAACAGCAAGCAAAGAACTTAAAGGTAATGGTAGTAGTCAAGTCATAGTGTTTGTCTTTATTTAATAAAGAAAAACAATAACAGATAAAGTAATTAAGTGAATTACCCCCAAACCTCAACCAGTAACCAAAACAATTGGGGCTGACTCCAAAGCCCTTCTCTGTCTTAGCCACTAGCAGTGTACTGCTACTGAGGTGGCTGGCATAAAAGGCTTTTAATCAACTTTCCCATTTCCCCACACTCTGTGAATACCGATGCTTTGATTAGTCCTGTGGTTCCCTCCACTCCCTGCCATGGTGAATTTGTAGGGAACAAAAAACCTCCTCCTTTTCTGAAGAAAGGGCACGTAGTTTCTTTTTGTAGTCAAATCTTGGTGTACCCCTCTCCTCTACTATATGTATTTTTAATTGAGGTGAGATTCATGTAACATAAAATTAACCTTTTTAAAGTGAACAATTTATAAACAATGTACTAAATGTACAACTCACTACCTCAATCTGGTTGCAAAACATTTCCCCAAAAGGAGATCCAGTACCCACTGGGCAGTTTCTCCCTGTTCTTCCTTCCCCTCAAGGCCTGACAACCAACGATATGCTTTCTGCCTCTATGAATCTACCTGTTCTGGATATTTCATGGAAATGAAATCATACAGTATTTGTCCTTTTGTGTCTGGCTTCTTTCACTTAGCATAATGTTTCCAGGCTCCTCCACACTGTAGGTGTCAGGACTTCATTCCTTTTATAGCTGAATAATATTTCACCTCTCCTCTTCCTTTT